GCATGGGATCCCGGCGTGCAACAACCACCACCCTCCAAGTCCCGTAACCAAGACCACCGAAACACAGGGACAGCCAGCTCCATGGCTGCGGGAACACCGTCACTGTTGCAGCGCGATATTTTGCAAGAATGAACGGCTTCTGTTGGAGTCTTTAACACAAGGGAGGAAAGCAGAGCGAAGCAGGCTGGAAACTGAACTGCTGCTCAAACGCACGCAAGGCTTCTCGGGCGAGAGCCGAGCTTTGTTGCAGCCAGGAAAGGTAACAGCGCTCAGCTTCAAGGGCTTTAATTTAATTTTCCCCCCACTGGCACAGCCTCTTAGGCTGCTTCTACCCCCCTGTACACCTCAGAACCAGGCCCTTCCCTTCATTAGCCAGTTCAAACACATTAATTGCTTGTGCAAGGCAGAAATCAATAGCCAGCGAGCCTCTCCTCCAGACTTACCCTTCCCCAATGGAAAAACTGCTGTGGGAACTGTTGAAGCCAGGGGACGGAGCGTTGTTGACGTACGTTATTTCTGGCCAGGGAGAACACTAGAAAGGAAAACCCAAAAAGAGTCACAGGATTGCTTTGAACAAACGTGTACATCGGCTCCGGTCAGCACAGGTTAACAGCTATTTGCTGACCGACAACCGACTGTGAAACAGAATTAAAGAATAAAGTAGGGGATTAAAAGAAGCCATGCCAATTCACTGCAGATGGTCACAAAGCTCAGATTTAGCCATTCTTAATCTCAAAAGGCCAAAAGTCACAAAATTTAAAATGCAGTGAGAGCTGGGATCTAAACCATCGCTCTGGCACCAGGCTGACAAACACGGTGCCTGCCAGCCTGGGCATCTCTGTGCCACAAACTACGTGGCGATCGAGCCTCCATCGGGCACTGAGGAGCGTGCCCGAATTCAGCCGGGGCAGGATGAGGGATCCCTCCCCACGGCTGATCAGCACCGACCCCTCAGACGATCACATTTTAATAGACCAACGCTTTCCACTAACACAGGGAGGAAACAACGAGGTTTTGTGCGAGCTCACAACCTCGGTGGCCAGTTGCCACGTGGGCAAAACAAACCTTAATCTTTTATTGGGGGGGGGGAGGGGGTGTTTGTGGAAAAACCATCGTGTTTCTGGGCACAAAAGCCCTTTTTCAGGTCTAGTAAGAAACACTTCTGCCTACAAAATTTATCTTGCTTTTGTCTTGCAGCTATTAACAACTCGGCCAAACATTTCACAGCAGAACAGCCAATTCCACCTGCGAGCGAGGTAAGCCAGGTTTTGTTAAAACAATGATGCCAGCTGCTGCATGAAAGAGAACCCCACCTCTGTGAGTATCGTAGTTTCGTAGGAAGGCTGGTATTTCTCTTTCTCATGAGGTGTTCGCTTCTCCATCTTTTCCCTGTCCGTCTTCTGCTTCCGATCAGCTCCTTTGGGCTGGAAAGGAGATATTCCTGTTAAAACAGCAGCGCGAAAGCGTGGCAGCAGACAGCCAGACAGACGTGCGAGAAATGCAAGAAGCAGAAAAGGCGACTCATCCTTCTACTCGCCTACTTGTTGCTTTACAGAGGGCAAAGGAAGAGGGCTGGGACTGTCTGCACAGAGAATTAACTACAGCGAGAGCATCCCTTCTGTAACAACCCCAATATCCCGACCTACCCACGCCCCTAAAACAGGGCCCAGAACATCTGAAACATTTTTTCGGAAGAAACTTCTCCTGACGGCATACGTCGGCTCTAAGGGGACAAAGGCCAGTTTCTGGCGTCACATATCTTGAGTTGCGTCTTTGGCACCATGATCAACCACTTTGAGAGGCGGCATTTCAGTGGCACAAACCACACCGGAACATGAGAACACTCAATTATGTCCTTGCTTTTGCCACAACCTCGAAAAACCGTGTACTTTCTCATTGGCGAGATTGAGATGATTTTACTCGCTGCCTTTCTCCAATGCTCAAAGCCCTAAGGAAAGCAGCAAGTCAGAGAGCGCCGCTCTAATCACCAAAGCTATCCCAGTGCTCCCCTTGGCAGAACCCTAAAGAAATTCCCTTAAAACTTGGCTGTGCACGGTCTCTGCCTGCACAAGTGTAAGGAATTTGGCCTCAGTGAACCAACACAGCTGCCTGCCAACATGCAGATGTCTCCCGAACGGACGAGCGGCAGCTACGGTACCGGCAGGGAAGCTTTAGGACTGCAAATACAGCTGGGTACCACAGCCCTCCCACTCCCTCAAGCTCCAAATCTCTTCTCCTCTGGACAGCAAAGCTGAGACTTGAACAAGCTACCATCATGCTCCGAGCTGGGTGAGGAGGTGCTGCTTAGCTGTGGCTTGATTAGCCAATTTCTGCTGTGAAAATCTAACGGTTGCTTTTATCTTTCCATGGTCAGCACTGCTGCTTCTGGCAGCTAGAAAGGATCTGCGCTCCAGACAACGAAGAGTGTGGGTAAGGGGCCTTCAGCAGCTATTTTGAAAGCACCGAAACACTTCCAGCTTTGAGGGGCAGAGGGGAGAAAGGGAAGAGCAGGGCAGGAGCCCGCATCACGTTAATCCACAGAGGACACCCTGCGATGAACAGATCTCGGGCAGGCACAGGGAAACATAAGCACAGTGTTGAGTCTACAGCCCTGACCTCAGGAGAGCGGCTGCGTCGAATGAGCAGGAGATAAAAGCTGAGGCCATCAGACATCGTCCTCTGCAAGGAAACCGTGCCCTGCAGCCACAGCTCGACTGCTTTGGGCCGGTTCAAGGTCATCAGAGACAAAAAACCCCAAACCAAACCAAACCCATCCCCCGGCACAAAGAGCTGAAATTCAGTAGAAATGCAGCGCCAGATGCCTCGCAATCTCACTACCCTCCGGTGCTTGTTTGTGACCAGCCTTATCCCTTCACTTCCAATTCCCCAGCCGTCAGCTTCAGCTATTTGCATCGAGATACCAGCCAGAGCTCGAACGAGCCCTAACAAATCATATCCCTTGTCTTCGAAACGTTTTAATCCAAATCAGTAAAAGAGAAGAGAGAGAAGGGGAAAGATGTCAAGTCAACAGCAGCAGGGCGCACTGCCTGATATCCCACAGCAACTTCACGACAAAACTGCAAAGCAGCACAGATCCCCGGTGAGGCAAGTGAACCCTCTGCATGCCGAGTGCCCCTAAAGGGAGAAGAAAAGAGCCACAGACAAGATTTTGTGGGGTGTTAAAGCGAGAACGGGGTAACGGAAGCAACCTCAGCATACCAGACAGCGTGGGCACAGCGTGGGCACAGCGTGTCCCGGCTTATTGCCTGCACAGCTGTCCCTGCGGCACGGCACCTGGGCGTTGCTGCGTGAACAACCCTGCCGGTTGTGCCAGTGCTGCCGCAGCTGCCAGAGCCAGGTCTGTGGCTTTGGGTTTCTGCAAACAATTTGCAACAGGGACCAGATGCCTGTGCCGCTGGAGAGGCTGGATGCAGACGGACCATCAGACGCAGACGGACCGTCAGTGACAGGTAATAATTAAGCAAGGAGTTTAGACAAGACACCAAAGCTCCTTGGAGGATCTCCCAAGCTGATAAGACTAAACGTGGGAGGTTTCAGAGACAACACAACCGATGTTCTCCCTGTACATTGTTCTTGGCTTACTGGTTTTGTAGCCTCAACTACATCCGGCATCCGGACTTGATTGACGGAGAGGAGCCGGGGAGAGAGCGGCAACGGAAGACCAGAAAGACTGAGAGGCCCTTTTGCAGGCAAGCTTGGCCACTGTCCTGCACCCGTGATGTTCACTGGGGCTGCAGCATGAACTGGGATTGGCTCCCAGTTTGCTTCCTAGCGAGGAAAGGCCACCAAGGGGCCTGAGGTACCTTGAAGACCTTGATCTGGCAGCTGGCGGAGTGCAGGTGCTCCGTGTACTCCCCATTTTCGTTCTCCTTGAATGTGTCTATCTGGACCCGAAAGGGTACCCCCTTCTCTCCTCCGTGCTTCCGCATGGTGAACTCCGTGCTGATACAGTGAACCTAGGGAAAGCCAAAGCAGCCGGCGGTGAGGAATTCTGCCACGTTTGATCGACCACAAACCTCCCATTCCCCTCGTGGGAGCCAGGACAGCGCTGACGTAAAGGGCAGCCAGGTGAGATGGGTGAAATACAGAGCCGGGATGGGACCATGGCAAGTACCCCCAGCATGAAGGAGTTAAGAGGATGCCACAGCAGAGGTCGAGTCACATTCTTTCAAGAAGTTTTGCAACCTCTTAATGTTACGAGCAAACCCCGGATCAGCAGGGCAGAGAGTTCGAGGCATCAGCCTTCACATGCTGCAGCCTTTTTATTCTAGGCGGGAGGGCCAGACTTCCAAAGAGGTATTTTTAAGCAGCTGGCAAGATGTGTAAAAGCATCTAAGCAAGATGGAGACTCAAATCACGAAACCAGCGGGACCTAAACCACCAGAAAAACGTGTAAAACAACTTATCGGTGGTCAACTGTGCTAACGCACGAACTGCTGCTCTCTTGCATTGCTTGAGCCAAGAGGTCAGGTGTATTTCAGTTGATGTCCTCCTACCACTGTAGCGTCTGGCTGCTATTTCAGTGCTCCGAGTTAAAAAAACGCATCTTCTTCCCCCTTGGAAAACTTTTTTTTTTTCACTGCAACAGGAGTTTCCCCACTTCTCCTCTTTTACCTGGATAAACACTGAAGTTCTCTTTGAAGGATCCCATAGAAACTCCACCGTATTGAGCTGGGTTGGGTTTGCTCTAGGGTCAATGATGCCCACGGACATGGGGATATCTGTAGGGGCACACAGGGAGAACAACTGCGATTTGTAGTAGAGAAAGAAGAGTACAGAAGGAAAGTTTGTAGAAAGAGAAGGAAGAGATTCCACAGGGAACACGTGGAAGAACCAACCACGTCTCTCAAAGTGCAGAATCGTGACAGCACAGCCAAGGGAGCGGGAGCTTGGCTGGGTGCACTGCAGGCACCCACACCTCTTCCAGCCCCAGCCAGGGTGCTGCTGTGGGGACTCACCTATGTCCAGTATCCTGTCCCCAGGCCTGTTCCACCGCCAGCCCTCCAACTGCTGATGCTCTGTGTACTGCAGCCGCCGGTCATGAAACACCACCCGGAATATGCTCTAGAGAGGAGAAACAAGTCAGAGCTTGGAGCTGCCCCAGGAAATCTGACAGTTTTCAAGCTGCGAGGCATTTCCCAGTGCAAGAAAAGGAGCAGAGCGGGGAGCAGAGGAACCTAAAGGCTTCATGAAGAAGCCAAAGCAATAAAGGAAAGCCCAGACAGACCCCTGGGACAGAAACATGAAGGTTGCAGCTTATCCTTCCTGAATACTAAGCAATCAGCAATCACCTCTTGGCTTGACCCCTTGGACACCACCAGCCAGGCTGGTCCCAACAAGCCAGGGAGAAGGGGAAAAGGGAAAATAACGTCCCCCCAACCAAGCCAGACCTATCCCACAGAC